CGAGTATTTTCGAATAGTGCTCAACTCCAATAAGGGACCGATTATGATTTCCTCTACGATTTTGAAGAAAATGATTTTATATGAGTGATTTTCTTTATGTAGTATTATATTGTTATCATTGCTTTTCTTTTCTTTTTTTTTTTTTTTGCAGTGTACGCATGAATATACGTTTTGCAAAATAAAAACCTTGAGAAATAAAATACAAGTTAACTGTATTTTTTAGATGGCATTGTAAAAACACGTAAAGATAAATAATTTTTTCAGCGTTTTTGTTTTTAGTAAATAATATTTGTTAGTTTGCGTTCGAAAAAAATGAGCGCAGCAAGTATATATTTCAATACTTACTAAAGACAATATTCGCATATTCATTACGTATGCAGGCAGCCGTATACTTATTTAGATACATTACACATGCCTGCGCATATAAGTGCGTGCATAGTTAAAACTATTTACACATTATATTGTCGTAGTTGTAATTTCAAAATCCCAAAAAAAAAAAAAAAAAAAAAAAAAAATTATTATCTATTGCTAGAGGAAAATTGGAAAAAACTTTTAAAAGAAACTTTTAAATGAAACAAATAATTATAGTCAAATATTAATGGTAGTAAGCAAGTAGGAGTGGTGCTAGCGGTAGTAGTAATAATAATAGTAGTAGTATTAGTAGTAGCATTATTCGGAAAGTCATAGCAATAATGACACTAAAGACTATGAATAAATAACAATAATAATAATAATAAAATATAGAATTTATCCAATAAATAAATCAAGTCTACTAGACATGTTCAAATATTAAATTGAATGAATATCTGAGCTAAAAGTAATAACTTTCCTAATAAAAAATTATATACAAAAAAAAAAAAAAAAAAAAAAGAACAAAAGATAAAACCCTACTATGCTCAATATTTTATGTGATCTACATCTCGCAGAACAATGGAGGAGGAATTTCGTCAATTGATCGTTGTAATGATCGCCTCTCAAATTAGGTTAAATTGACAGACAAATCAAACTTCAACACCGATCTTCTATTGGGACAGAGACATCAAGCAATCCATCCTTTTGAATGGAATCTTTATCACGTATGCATAATACTCTTAAGAAGCTTGCTACCCAAAAAAAAAAGACGGTTTCATCAAAATGTATTTATAGTACCACTACAAGCACGATACAAAAGCTGTTGAGCTATTGAGTTATTAAATTTAAGAATTTAATAAGAAATATTGGTAAAATTTCAATACCTATATAATAGGTATAATATAATTCAGATCAAGCACACTCAACGACAATTCCGCCCATAATTATATTGCTTTTTAGATGAACGCATGAGTTCATAGTCAGATATTATGACTAACTATATAATGCTCTGATTCTATAATCGATTTTTATGTAATCATATATCCCTAGGTACACATATACAAATTATTCGTTTATAGCAGACGGGTATAAAGAATTCGTTTTAAGCTTACTTTTGATGATTTTCTTTTACTTATTTATTTATTTTTTTTTATTTATTTTTATTTTTTTATTTTTTTTTTTCAATATTTGATTCAATGAATGTACTTGTGTTTGTTTGTAAATTGAATGTGTATGACAAGTGCACTACTATGTAGTCGTTGTCAGTGTAGTCAATGTCTAGGTCATTAAAAAACAGCGACGTTCACGTTCATATAAGTTTCGCTATAACCAAGTGTTTTAATTTTGTTTTTTGTTTTTTGCTTTTTTTTAAAATTTTTTTTTCTCAATATTGCTGTTGTTTGTTGTCATTGTATGCTTGCTTGTTTGCTCTTTTTTTTTTTTTTTTTTTTTTGTATAATATGTGTAAATATAATTTCATGTTTATGCAAAATTTGTAAAATGCAGCAAGTGGCACTTTATTGATTACATTGATTATTTTCATAAAACCTAAGTTTTAACGCGAAAGCTAAAAATAGATATTTTTACTACTTTCGAAAAGGAGCATTTTTTTTTTTTTTTTTTTTTGTCAAGTGACCATTGACTGTCTATGTCTCGCATTTATGCCGCGACCTCTTCATTATAACGAATTCTAGATAACACAGTAACGCATATGAGTTGACGCATATCGTTTTGTTTGACGATGCGTAGTAGTTAGCCACTGTTTGGGCTGAAATGTTTCATATTTTCAACTTGAAGCTCTTAGTTAATCAAATCCGACTCGAACTTAATGAATCCAAACTCTACATGTTATACACACATGTGTATTACTTTATTACTATTATTATAATTTATTTAGATCAAAGAAATAATCTACTAGAACTAAGAAAGTAGGATGGGCAGTAGAAACCAAAAATTATCTCACGTCATTTTTTTTTTAAAAGTGCGACAAGATGACTAAACAAATAATTTATTGCTATCATGTTCTCCAAGTACTTTTAAGACGTCCATAAAGTTGAATGCAACGAAACCAAGTCTTCGAGTATTAGGAAAATGTTGGCGTTCACTTTGTATATGTTTAATCGTAAAATGTTGTCCACAATTGTAAATTCCAGAAGTAGACCCCTTAAGGATCGATTGGTGTGTTGCAATGATGATGATGATGATGATGATGATGATGATGATGATGATGATGATGATGATGATGGTACCTGTCTTTCAAACTTTTCCATTATGCGACCCATGATAATAAAGTTCCCGAAACGGCAAATTTGGCCGCAAGGTTTATTCGCAAGTGATCAATACGAACCGCTACCCACAAAAAATTGTAAGTTTGTCTCCCTAAGTACCGATGGCATTCGTCACTTTTTGTTTCGTATAGTTCTTAGTTTACGCTTAGGTTTGCGTGCATGCGCGGTTCGTAGCATAACGGATAGCTCTAACTTCGATCTTGACGCGCTTCCGTGCACGATACGTTTACCTTGGAGTTAGTTGTCTTCTGGCGTCAACTATTTGCGTAGCCAGATCACCACTTTTACAATCGTTTAAAAAAAAAAAAATAAAACAAAAACAAGTGCTAACCATTATTTTTCAAACAATGAGAAGGCGCAACTTAACTCTCGTTCTCTTTGGCTTATTGGAACTGAACTTATCACAGGACTTGACGCTTAAAGTCCATGATGAGACTTGCATACATACAAGAATTAAATTCGGATAAGTATCTTTTGATTTTTTTTTTTTTTTTTTTTGGGGCAATAATAAGTTTTTTTCAACGTCGTCGCCGACTATCATTGAATTGTTAGTGTTAAGTAGTTTCGGGATTATTTTAGATTTTCTAACTTGTAAAAACTCTATTTGCTAATGCTGGAAGATCTATATCGGCAATGATGTTTGTTGTTAATATTATTATTCGACTTAGCAAAGAAAACATTTTTAATCTTTCTCCTTAAATGCATTCAATTCCGTTGCCCGTGAGTCGTGAGGAAACAGTAAAAGAATAAAATTCTCATATCGAAATGATGAAACAATTGGATCATAAAACGAATTAAACAAACATCAAAGACTGCTTACTTACTAGCCAATTTTGTTTTCCGCCTATCCAAAAATATATATGTAATATGCACTCATAATTTGTTCGTCAAATAATTTTTTGAAATGTCATGTAAAGCAATGAGTCGCTTAAAATGTTGCAGCAGACATTGTGGATACCATACATAATGCGGCTGTATTGCTCGGTGTACAATTACATCGATTAAATTCGTTTGCTATAGCTTTAAACTTATTATCTTTGTTTTATTATTTTTATTTTATTTTTTTTTTTTTTGAAATTTAATTAAAATTCCCTTAGAATTTACTTGGAACGATGGATATTATTTTAATTTGTTTTTCGCTCTCATTTATTTTAATCATTGTCTACGAAACGGACCATTTATTCGTTAATTGACTAGCAATCATTAATTTGGGAAATAAAGTAAGCAAATTGTAAAGAAGCAGCGCTCAAATTTAACATTTTTTTTTTGTAAAATATAAAATCAAATTTTTCAACAACAAAAAATATATATATATATATATATTTTTAAATTGATGCAAATTAATCGCAGTAAAAATGTAAAATACTGGATGCATCCCTTTCGCTTTAATATACTCGTCACAACAAGCGACAAGATTAATACAATGAAGACAATCTACTCAAAAATTTTATAAATTTTCGTTTAACCTTCCGAAATATGCATGATAAGTTTATCTGTATAAAAGACGAAAACGTTGAGCGTAGAAAATTGCAAAAGACTAAATTCAAATATAAAATATTGCGCATAACTTTAAAATATTTATCCAATCAAAATTATTTATCAAAAGATATATTAGTCTACAAATTGAAACGAATCAAAAAAAATTCATGCAAATACTTGAAGGATACGCGGTCGAGTCAGGCAAAATATATGCAAAAAGCTTTTCTATTAAAAAAAAAAAAGAAAAAAAAAAAAAAAAGAGTTTTTTCGAAACACCGTTTAAGGCGCTTAAACAATAAAATGAAATTCTGAAAAAAATCTTCAGTCTTATGTACTCTATAAGCTTTTTTATAGAAAGCCAAGATAACAAGATGGACATAACTTAACTTAAAGCCTTATGAGTAGAAAGATGCAAGAGAAACTGTTAGAATAAAAAATTTTTTAATTTCTAAATATCATCGACCTTCAGTTTTTTCTTCTCGCTCTGCTAATTTCTCTTCTCAGCGGTTTAAAGTATTTGTTTCACTATATGGAGAATTATTGAGGAAAATTCGCAATTGTTATCCCAAAAGTGATTATCCCAACGACTAGGACTGATATTAGTAGTGATTCTCTATTATAAAAGTTGAGCAGACGACGAGTTTATCAGTATCGCACATTGCCGTTATAATTATTTTTAAGCATGCAATTTTAGGCGAAGAAAATTTGCAACTGCGTAGACATGTCAAGTGATCGTGACAAAGCGGAAAATTATCCAAAATTTTGTTTGGCAAAAATTGAAAAATGGAAAAATTCAAAGCATTCGAACGGGTATTTTAATTGACTAAATCACGGGATACGTGGATCGTGAAGAGATAACTAACATATTTAGACAAAACTCACCTATTGAAGATCATTGAATCCTTTACATGAAGACATGTTACCGTGCGCTGTTGTTGTTGTTGTTGTTGTTGTTGGTGGTGGTAGGTGGATAAGCGCACCGCGCGCGCTCTTTCGCTCAAAATTAAATTAGAAAATATTTGCTTATGATGAACAACAACAAAAATGCAAAAGCAATATATATATATATACTTTTGTTGTTGTTAATGTTTTTTTCTCCTTTACACTTTATTATAATTTCACATTTCATAGAGGCGTCGATCGTTGCTATATTGAAATGCTGCATACAAATGTACGTGTGGACGTTGTTGACTCCTTCCTACCGTTGACCCCGGTATGTTGTTGTGTTAATATCGCGTGCAATCTTACGTTTATTGACCTTGGTATGAGAGAGCACGTCTGAACATAATGTGCTGCTGAATGCCTATACAGCTGCAGGTATGGGTTGTATATCGATCATTGAACGTATCCGTGTTTGATGATGACTGAGTTTGAGAGAGAGTGTAAGTAAGTACATTGGGGATATATATATATATATACATATATATATATATATATATACATATATATATACATATATATATATAACGTAACGTTTATTTAATAAGATCGCGCACAAACAAAAACGCACACACGCGCATACCCTTACACATTTACTTCTTTGTCAAATGATGATATTTATTATAAAGGTATTTTATATCGTTGTCGTTGCTATTATTATTATTATTATTATTGTTATTATTTTTATTATTATTATTATTATTATTATTATTATTGTTGTTGTTGTTGTTCGATTATGGAAGTTTTGAAAGAAAAGAAAATCATCCCAAAAAAAAAAAAAAAAAAAAAAAAATGAAAACAAACAAGTAAATCTAAGATTGATTTTTAGGTGTTAGATCAACGACCAACAAGTGCAATACTTTTTCTTATGTTTTTTCGTAGGCTTCAATATAATGAAACGTTAGGCTTAAATACAAAACCCGGTGCAATAGTAATAACAATTACTTGTTAGCTATGAAATAATTAAAGATTTTTTTGTTTTTCGAAAAGTGTATTATTTTTTAAAAAATATTTTTAAATTTATTATGTATTTTTCTTTTTTTATTATATATATGTATGTATATATATATATACATTTTTTTTTTTTTTTTTTTTTTTTTTTTTAAATTAAATTCACAGACAATTCTTTAATTAAGGCAATATGGATATAAATACTCTCAGTAGACGTATAGGGAAGAAACAGATATCAAACTTTTTGAAATGTTTTTTTTTTTTTAATGCCTTTCGTAATTTTATAAAGATTTTTTTTGTTTTTTGTTAATTTTTGGATTATTATTTATTTAATTAATTATTTATTTATATATTGTATATGTGACCATTAAGAAACAATTTTATTATTTATATATCAAAAAAGTCGTAAATGTTAATAAACCGAATTCTTAAAACTGTTCAGTGCATTGAAAGCATTTTGCTGAGCAGCTCATTTTGGCAGTTATACTGCACGCATAACAACCCTATGACGAGATAGAAGCATGAATGTCATTAGAGTGCTCTGGAACACCGCACGTTGTGCACTCTATACATAACGCACGGGGCCTTAAAAAACTAAAGGCAAAATACGTTAGAAATATAATTCGTTTTGCAACCAAATGCAGAAAGCAATAAAACAAACACAAAAAAGTAACGTTGGCGCCTCCGCCTCGTATATAACGAAGAAAAAGAGATATTAACGCGTCTTTGCTGTTTACACGATTTACAACCGTTCGATACAATAGTCCGATACAGACTGACTGACAAATGCATGGAGCAGCTCACAACCAGCAATCGTAAATGCGTTCAAACTAGCAGCGATTATTGAAAGCAACAAAACAACAACAACAATAATAATAATAACAATAATAATAATAATAACAACACAACAACAACAATATAATACGCAAGCACGTTGTACTCTCTCTCTTCACTGGGGCATAGGGGAGCGCTAAAGATAAACGTATACATTAAATACTCTCATTCAATATAAACTTTAAAGCTGCTTGCATTTGCTTTCTGGTGTTAAAAGTTCTCTTAAATTTGTTTTTTTTTTATTTTTATTTATTTTTTTTTTTTATTTTTTTTTTTTTACATCTATTAACCAAAAATAAAGCGCCAACAAGGCTGCAGGTTCATTCGTGTTATCCTCAACGCAAAACGTAAAGCAAATAACTGAAAGTTGTCACTAATATCCAGCATCGTTATAGATGCCTGCAACTAGACCTACAAATTAAAGCAAAAAAAATTTCTTACATGCATTTACAGTTTATTCACATATATTTTCTTACCATACCTTAATTAAGGGCAAAATATAAAATAAAATTATAAGGTAAAATATTATAGATGCCCAGGTTGTATAAACTTTATGATTTTTTTGAATTTCCATAAGACAAATGATGATCGCACTTATTGATAATAGAAAGTTTAAGAAAACTGAAGATAGTTGGCTACCAAAACGGGCGATTGGAATGAACGTTTAGCTGTTTATGACCAAGAAAAACAAATCTTGATGAAGTGTTGAAGAACAACACCAAAAGAATACGATTATTTCAATTTATGTTTCTCAATAGTTCGCCAGTTATAGCAAGAATGAAAATCGAAAATATTAAATATTAAATATTTATTAGATTGTTTTTTTTTTTGGAATAATTCGCGATCGATAATCCCCTAAAGTAATTACCGCCAAAGTTCTGAATTCTGTCTGACATCAGCCATTACCTGAAAGCGTGATTAAGGCAAAAAAAAAAGAAAAAGACAAAAGTTTGCATCCATTGATTTGCACATAAGCGTTCTCGTGTGTAACTGTTGTTAAAACAGTAGAGAAAATATGTCGATACCATAAATGACTTCTGGCATGTGCTTACATGTGAACAGGTGGATGGAAACATTATTATTATTACGACGAGACAGTTATGCTAGTACAAAAAAAAAAAAAAACAACAACAAAATCGTATGCAACTGAATATTCAGATTGAATCAAATTTTTAACATCCAAGCAAGAGTCAAAGGCGAGATGCATTCATACATATTTCAAATGAAATTTTCAGACAACTTGGCTTCACTTCACTTTCAAAAGGAAATGGGACAAAGTAAAAAACGTTTTTTTTATACGCGATTTTTTCGTACTTGTGTACACGGACCCATTGATCAATTTAGTTGATCCTTAATAGAAAATATTGAATGGCTTAGAGGAACTAACCCACCCACCATAAATACATGCATGAATATGCTCATTCGTAAGTCTCTAGTACGGAGATGTATCTTGATGAAAAGTATCGTACACTAACGCTATTTTGGCCAAAGCATAAACGCTATTGCAAATGATTTGAATCCGACTACTTGTTTAAAGTGTCGCCATATCAGGCCTTAGTTTGAAAAATCGTTATATGAATAACTGTAGGGTGGTGTACGGTATTTTATGGCGAGTCACGGCCCACCATTAGTAAATAGATAGCAGTCTCTGGAGTTCATCTTTGAGAGATTTGTAGTGATACATCACTACATACGGCAATTGCCGATTAGTATTTTTAAGTAAAAACGCGCAATGAATGATTTCATAATGTTCTGCTATCTAGTCAAACCGAATCCTTTAAAGGCACTTGAACAACAATATAGAGAAATTAAAAAAAAAACAAAAAATTTTAAGTTTTATATCAGTGCTTTTAAAAAAAACTTGACGATCATCTCCCATCGTCAGTGTAGCTCTACGAACTCCCATGGCGTTGACATTTACGGGTAATATTCCTGTCAGCAAATCGCCTCAAGCTGATTGTGTTGCGAGAGCCCGTAGAATGCAATAACCAGCTTAACTGTTATCCTTGAAATATGCAGAAATTTCTTGTGAATGCTGCTTTAGGATAACTGATCAAGTACCCGTTAAGCGCTCGGTCCACTTAGGACTCAATTCCCTTACTTTTTCTATTCGGAAAAAACGAGCTCTTAAGCCGTTTCAGGTTTAAAGAAATTTTTATGAAGTTTTTCACATTCAATCTTTTGGACCAACGAAGCCCGAGAAGTTCTTTGCATTATTCTTTATTTTAGCTTGCAAATAAATTTCATCCAGCTACGCTTTCTTTGTAATTTATGTGTGTGATACGGGTGTCGTTTAACTAAACGATTGAAAAATGTTGCATGTTTCTGGAGTATGCTTGAAATAGCCGTAGCAGCTCTAATTTCACATTGAAAGATTCTTTGAATGATTGCAATAGAGAATCGTAAGTCATATGAAATTATTGGTGTTTTGCATAAAATTTTCACAAATGTAAAATAAAATAAATTATCCCAAGCATTGCCCAAAAAAAAAATTCATATTCACATACAATTCCACACTGAAAAGGTAAAATTTTAGATTTGCCAAACGTTAAGTCACGCATAAGTCTTCGCCTTGGTTTTCACTTGTTTACGTTGTCAAAGCAGCTAACATTTGCGATGAAGAACTTTTTTCTCTTGTTTATTGTGACAGAATCCCAATATTGGCAATGTCCTGCTTTTAAACTCAAATGCATTTAAAATTAATTTTTTTTCCTATGAAAATCGTGATCGTACCGCAATCACGTCAGCTGCAGGATTTGATGATAGAACTAGAATTGTCAATTCGAAGATCAAGCGTGCTGTCATTGGAAAAGAAGATTCCACTCATCTCAAAGACTGGAAATTTCGATTGACCCTGTGTACATTCTGCTACAAAAAGGATAACATTTTTTTTGTATAAAAAGAAAGCTCACTCAAAATTTATTGCAGCTTACTATAGGTACTTTGGAAGCTTTTAATTTTTTCTTTGATGTCATTGATGAATTTTTTTTCGATTTGACACTGCGTGCTGAAAACTAAGTTTTCCAACTCTGACGTTCTGCTTTACTATATTTTAGGCAACATCAGTCATGTGCGATTTCAAGATGAAATTTCACATTTTAAAATGGAAGAATACGTTACATTAAGTTTTTTGTTGTTTTCTTGACAACTTTACTAATCTTCGTCTTTGCCTCTTTGGATTCGCTATAGCTTTTTCATTCTCATTTTTTTAGTGACTTCACGGGGCGCTTTGTTATTAAAATAATGAAAAACATTTTCATAATTTGTGGAATAATTCTGTTCGCATCTACTCTTGATTGCTAACACTGGTGTTTTTCACTTATCAACTGTGCTTACGCAAGAACGCTAGGATTGTTGAAACCAAACAGCAAACATATAACGTTAGTATGCTTGACAGTACAAAGTTTCGCCTCATCCCTGTTTAGATGTCAGGACTTTCTTTCTGCCTTGCAAGATTAATACGAGGGCAATACGACTAAACTTCCCATAAACTTTCCTTGAATTATTTGTTAAGAGTGGGAAGTACTTGATTTTTATGATTTGAAGGAATTAATATTCGTTTAAATCCAATCTTAAGAATTGCGATGAGAATCCCTTTTATTTTCTTCACGCGGAACTTTAAATATTCTATTCTTACGAAAGTCGTTGCTAATGTAACCGACCGCTCCCTTGGAGAAAAATCTTAGAATAATAAAGCCGTTGTTAATAACGACGCTCTTTCCGCCAATAGCACTGTCAAATTGATTTCTAGCTCTATCATTACTCCTAACATTTAATTCTAAAATTCCATCAAATTGAAAGCTTTTCTGATGCTCCATGAAAAAAGCTACACTGATGTTAAATAAGCGTGACGGCCGCCATCCCCCTCGTTCGAACCAGATATCGAGTACACTTGTGCATTTCGTATTGATTCAAATACGGCGTGGGACAGCAGTTCTTAACCTCTTATCGACTATGGGCTATTATCATTCACGATTACATTGGCTAAACGTAGTAAAACCCTTTCCTTCGAAGATTTGCGTGTCTGCGGACGCAACGTAAACAAAAATGTTTCCACGATGAGCTGAACATCGGAACAGCAAACGCTTTCTTAATTTTTTTTTTTTTATTATGTATATGAGAGAATAGCGAAGCAGACGGACTGAGCCGATGAGATATGGCTTACATGTCTAGATTAAAAAAAAAATTTATAATATTTCGATGATTGTATGTAGTCGGACTAAAATGTATAAATTTATGTTTTAATTAAAAAAAATTGGCCCCACTGCAAGTCTAGGATAATTAAAAAAAAATTTTACAAAAGCTTCATCAAGATGAAAAGAACAAAAACAACAAATTATCGAAAACATAAGTTGAAAGCAACCAAATTAATGAAAAAAGGCGTAAACTTTATATTTAATATGATTAAAGCGATATATTTGCATTTAAAATGAAGCATGTGCCATGTAAACCCTAAAACATAATGTGTTGTGTTGGCAACAGCTTTGGTAACCCTATTGTGGAATCTGGGCGGTTAACTTGTGGAATTTGGGCGGTTTATACAAAACAACATATGACAAGTGCAATACATAACGAATGAGTAAGAAGTTAGAACCGAGGTAGCTTGTTTTCGTTCTCGTTTGGTTTTTTCTTATGAAATGCCTTAACTGGCATATTGCTTTGTCCTTTTCTAAAAGAATCCGCTGAATATAATTTCAAACACAAACGCCAACCTTTCACAAGTTAATTTCTCGAGTAAAGCATTATTCTAATTATTGAAAAGATTACGTAGGTAATTATGTATACTGTTATGTATGGTGTTAAAGAAACTTCTGATATATTTTCAAATTTACGGCAGTTAAAAACTTGGTGAAGATCCCATTATTTTCATGCAGACTTTATCGCAAGAGTGACCACTGACGAGCCTGTAGAGCATTTTAATTTCGCAAGATAAGAATAGTTATTCCGAAAGCGGTTTGAAGGCAAGCAGTAGGAAAAGTAGAAAAAGCGATCTTCTTTACCATTCTTCTTCTTCCATTCATTTTCGATAATATAAGTTGCTTCTTCGGGAATATATTTGATGAAAAGAATATCAACAATTGTCTTGAGTCTCGCGTGCATTGAGTTAGCCTCTTCGACCAAATGACAATTTGGTCATATGTGTGGAAAGCAGCTTTATTATCAACGAATACACCATTTGTTTGTATAAAATTCGTTAACAACGTTAAAAAAATTTGTAAAATTTAAAAAAAAAGCAGTAGCTGCCCCATTCGTTTGCACCATTTATCGAATTTCTTATACAAAATTATATATGCAATTCACTAATCATAATATTATGTGAAATATCTACTTCAAAATAATAAAAAGAAATCAAATTAAATTAAGTACTGCTGGTGATAATGAGTCGGCATTAATAGAATTTAAGATTTATTAGAATTCATTAAGATTCACCAACAGATTTTATTTTCTATTTTTACAATAGTGAAGTCTTTGTGCAGTTGTATGTACCAAAAACTATATGTTATTTAAATCGACCCATCTGCCATTTAAAATGCAACAGGCGGAAATTCCAAAATCCAATTCTATTTCGTTCCGCTTTCGCCTGGTTTGTGTCCAAAATCTCTCTCGACTTGTATCTAAAATCATATAAACATCAGAAAATCAAATATCACAAATGGAAAAATGATAAATATTAGAGAAAATGCACTTAATTATATAGAAAAAGGTGCATTTTTGTTTTTGCAGTAAAAAACATTTTTTTTTTTATAAAGTATACACATATACGTTCGATTATGTATATTTCCGTTTGGACGACTGAAACAGGTTTGTTAAATTTGGTAAAGTTTCGGTTGAAAAAAAAAACGAGTGAACAACAAACAAATGAATAAACAGAAAAATTGATTAATTGTAAAAAGAATAAGACTAGATAAAAAAATAAAATATAAAACAAAACGTACCTACAAATATCTACACATACATATATATGCATATATGTATATGAAGGTATTTAATAATAATGAATAAATTAAAGCATAAACAATAATACTACATGCGTTAAATATTTAATAGGAGAATTTTAAGAAAATTTCAATTTTTTTTTTTTTGTCGTGAGCAACGTTGTAATATTTCGTAGAGTGCTTCATAAGCCATAAAGTGATTCATAAAAATGTATTAGAAATAATACGATGCAAAGCATTAATTGACTTTCTCTTTCTCTCTGTCTCCTCGCTGTCTCTTCGGTATGTTTACAGTTGCAATTCGCAATGCAAACCAAATAAGTTGAAATCCAATTGTAAGGTGCGTTGTTTGGAAAATCACATTATAACGAAACAAAATATCGCCTCAAATCTTATTGTAAAACATTTAAAATACCTTATTTTCACTTAATAGAAATTATTTTTAATGCATCTTATCGAGTTGCTAATGCGTGCAATCAGTTCATAAATTGCGAAAAAAAAACACAAAAAAAAACACAAAAAAAAAATTAACAAAGCCCGTTTAGCATTTGTTTTTTTTTTTTTTTTTTTTTATAAATTTAACTTCATTTTTATTGAGGTGAAAAAAGTTCTAATCGATATACGCTTACAAAAATATAATTGGCTTTTCTTTAATTGATTCATAAACAAACAGTTGGTCTTTAATAAGACGTTTTCATAGGATACGTTTATAAAATGGAAAAAGTAAACAAAATTGAAAAATTCAACAATAATAACGCAAGCAACAAACAAACACGTGCGCCATCGGAAAAATTCTACTCAAGTGTGGTTTAAACCTGAGAAAATGTTTATAATTGACTTGCATTTTGTGCATGAGACAATTTTTTGGACTTGACCTAATTCTTACTAAAAAAAAAAAAGAAAAGAAAATATATATCAAATTGAAGTTGTCGATGAGCAAAGGGAAATGAGATTTTTTTTTTTTAAATTGTATATTGACTTAACGTGGCTTTTAATGCGATAATTGCGAAAACGTTGACTGTGGAATATGGGTGGCTCGGTAAGTCAAATATTTCGTTCGGGCTCAGCGTTGCTGTCACACCGACGAGATGGGCATATATCAAAGGCTACAGAGGAGAAAATTCAAACTTTATTTGAGATTTTAAGAGCTAATCCAAAAATCTCTATACAAACATTAGAAAGTTTGCTCATGCAAATTCCAAAGGTTAGTTGGTTTTATTTCGCTTATCTATGTTGCACATATTGTCATATTAATTGATATTGATTTTCTTATTGTTGCTACGTGCTTTACATATGTAGAATGAAAATATTTTAGTTATACATGATGACTGCGGCTTCAATATATTACAACGTAGTGTCGGCCTTAATCACATCGAACTTACGAAATGGTTGCTACAACGACATCGGCCAGATGTTAATCGCAGTCCTTGCTCTCTTCCGTTACATATAGCCTGTCTGAAAGGCTATGAGGCCTGCGTAGAGTTATTGCTGAAGTATGGAGCTCGTATAGAATGCGATTCACGCATGTGTTTTCCAAGTTCCCATTCGTCTAATTGTGAGCTATTCCAATACAATGCCAGTAATTTTGAAGACGTTGAATTTCCAATGCCTCGTGAACGTTACGATAATTCTAAATTGCAGAATGCTATATGTTACGCCATCGATGGTGATCAAATTAACGTTTTAAACATATTAGTGCAAAAGATTGAAGATCCTTGGGTAACTGGAAGAGACAATACGGTCGTCCACATGATTTATTTACTAATCTTCTCGATATTATAGATACCATTTCGCGTTAAAAAGCCAGCGTTTCATTTATTACATACGGCTTGTGAACGGGGCGCTTGGAATTGCGTTCAGCAACTAATTGTTACTCGTTCTGAAGAAATCAATCTCATTAAAGACGAATATTATCCCATACATCAAGCTGTATTACATGATGTACGATTTCTAGAGTTACTCATACAACACGGAGCCATAACCACTGTACGTACCTGTACTCAACAATTCACTTTATTGCATATGGGTAAACCTACAAAAATTTTTTAATAATTAAACTAAACAGATCAATTAAGTTCTACAATTATTAAAAATTTAGTAATATTTATTGCACGTAAGTCTGCGGAAGATACCTTAAGCATTTTGAGGATATTGCTCGAACGCGGATGTAAAGAGCTTATTAATGAACCAGATGTGCTTGGTAATACCCCGTTGCATTCTCTTATAGTGCGTTACGCTTTAGAGGAAGCCAGGTAAAAGCGATTCATTTCACAATTAATATATTCACACACTATCTGTCTGTCTTATCTTTAGGTATGGTTATGATAAGTGGAGTAAATGGGACGTTCTCCATTTAGTACGATTTCTATTGCAAAATGGCGCCAAAAATTCCATTAACCAAGCCGGCAATAGTGCTCTGGCTTGCGTTTTTCGTCACATACGAGATTGGGAAGTCTGCTTTGAATTGCTTAGCATGCTTATTAAAGAAGATGGTACGAAACCAATTGCAAATTATCTTCTTTTTTTTTTTTTGTTTTTCTTCTTTTTTAATTCCAAAATTTTGATTTTCTTTTCTAAATTGAAGGTGACCCAAACATTGTCGGCCGTGACGGTTCAGTGCCTATAATGGTTCTGCTAATACCTCTAATTAACACAGACACTTTACACCATTTTACTCATTCAATGAAGGTATCATGTTTTCTCCTCCTTATATCTACTACCAAAACATGTAGACAACAAAAGAGCTATGAATATGAAAATTGCGAATATATAACTATATCGATATGTGTACACTCAAACAGTGCAATAACCTGAGTCAATCGTATTCGGGCATTGTGATCAATCACTAGTCATAAGAGAAAACAATATTGTTTCTAATTATGGTTCTTGTGGTTCTGCGTTAAATTTGTTATTCCGAAACACTAATCAGAATAAAAGCCTCTAATATCAATTTTGAGTTCGTTAAGTCGCGAAAAACACGAGCAAATATATTCTTTGTGAAATGTGGCATCTTTGTGAAATTACTGAGGATACTGCTGCTAGTATATTTTTAGCAATAATATGCAATCCATGGCAGTTAAAAAATTGAAATTAGATTTGAATATAGATAGACTCGAGCCACCTGGAAATTAAAAATTTAGGCTAATGAAGTACTTGCAATTAACTGTCAACTGCTTGAGGTGGTGGTGGATATTGAAAATTCGTCTCGAGGCGAATATGGCTTTAATGTGTTACGTCATAAACATTTTCTTTATCTATTACAGGTTTGTTTTGTTAATTGCATACGAATTTTGTTACAACATGGAGCAAACCCGAACTGTTCCTATCATCAGAATCTCACGCCACTGCATGTCTTGGTTTTCACTGTTAGCGAAAATTTTTTGTTGACCTGTGATACTTCAAAACGCACAAATTATGATTTTATTAAAAATATCTTATATTTGCTGCTACAGCATGGCCTTGACTGTAATCAAACATATCAGAATATATTACAAGCAGTCTTGGATATGGTACGCAATGTGCGTTCTTGTCAAGATATGCAATGTGTTTATGATTTAATTTTAACGCTTGTACAATACGGAGCAGATACGAATATAGTATTAAGCAGCATGACCACTGGTGGTGCAATATATTCCAATGAAATTGCTCGTTTTGGCGATGCCTTAGGTTTAAATGGCTCACCTGAAAACGATACAACAAACGAGGTGACTAGCAGTAGTAGCAATGGTGGAGGCGGAGGTAGCAGTGCTCGTCAGACATTGGGCGAATCAACATTTCGTAACTCGTTTCGCACCAATTCTCGATATCTGCTCTTTTATTATATTGTGCTAATAACCAAAAAGGATTTCATACTCAACGATCCCGAATTAACGTTCACGCATGTTATACATTTGTTCTTCAGTACCATGCAACACGATGCCTTGTACAATTGCTTAAAATCGTTGCATAATTTTTACATGGCTCAGGTACCGAGTAAAAAAACCGAACAATTAATAGCAGTTATATCATCATTGTATCGTAAGCCTCGCAACTTAAAGCAGTTAGCACGTCTTGCTATTTATGAGGCAGTTAATCGAAAATTGGCTCAAAATATAAATGGATTAAAATTGCCAGGACCGTTAAAGGACTATGTATTAAATTTTGACCGGTAACCATAAGACGTGCAAAAGAGATAAAGTAATAAGCATTAAACACTCCTTTCAAATATAGATATATATATATACATATATATACATATGTTTTTTTGTTTTTGTTTGCAATTTAAGCTTAAAAACGACTATAAAAGTACTTTAGAATTCTTAAAAAACCAATTATAAAATAAGAGGGATATTTTTTTCGTAACGTTTCAGTATCAACAAAAAACATGAAGTTATATCAAGTGCCATTTTTAATTTTTCTTATATTTATTCTATCGGTGAAACTAATTAATTTACTTAATTGTAACTCATTTGAATTTCCCCAACCCAGCCCCTGCTGCGATGGCTTCGCAAATATTGCCAAAATGCGAAATAAAAAAAAAAATATATATATATATGACAAATTATGTTATCACATTGTTCCTTTTAACAAAAATCATTTTGATTATTATATCGATAAATTATTAGAATTAATTAATAGTAATAAAAAGTGAAAACGCGAACAGTAAATATTTAAACAAAATTTGTGCTTTTCTTTTATCGAACCCCTCTATATTAACGTAACTTTTTGCTTAGTAACCATCCCTAATAACTAAGTAACGTGCTTAAATAAAGCATGAAATTGAGAAAAAAAAAGAAGTAAATAAATATATATACATACCATACATACATACATATATAGATTCAGATATATATATATATATATATATATATATTGAATTCAGTTTGGTCGGAATAGCCTTAGCAAATCGAACATAGGGTTAGAATCTCTGCTCACAAGTCACGGTTATCTGCATAAAATGTTAGACAAATGGCAAAAGTTGAAAGAAAACTATACTATATACTAAATACTTATCTGATATTTTGTGTAAATGGGTTTAAAAATGCCGTACAAATTCTGATTGTTAGTCCTATTATAATGACTGATCGATTTTTATTTATTACAATTCACCATCACATTGTCTAGGACATATCGAGGACATAATTGGTCATAAATAAAAAGAAAGATTACAATTGTGAAGATCCGAGAAGCGTTTAAGGCTTAAAAACAGTTACTATTTGATTTTATTAAAACTTTAATTCATTGCCAGCCTCGAAAGTTATGATTAATAAAACAAGTGATTTATGCATTTGATGTGAATCGAAAACAAACATCCATTCAGATGTTTCAAGTGCTTGATACTTGTTTGCTACGTCTGATAATGCAGCGTTCGAGGCAAACATTATTAATTCATGTCAATTGTCAGATAATGTCGAATAAAGTAAATTTTTTTTTTTTTTTTTTTTTTTTTTTTTTTTTTTGTACAATTTCTGAGAGGTAAAATAACTTCTCTGAAATCGGTAGCTAAATAAGAGCAGAAAACGCTTCAAAAAAAGATTAGTTTGAGGAAGATAATAAAAGAAATATATAAAAAACATAAGCAAAATGTATACGCGCAAATTGGAGAGTATGCATCATCCGCCCTCGGATGTGCATAAATATGACGAGGAGGAGTACACAAGGAATCCCTTGTTACGTTTCCATTTGGTGGATGTATATGAGCGGCGACATCACACTTTTCTTAAATATCAGGCAGCGAGAATAAAATTGCAGTTATGTAGTACTCGTCTACCGCCGGAACCGGAAATTCATTTATTGCCTGAATGGCGTTATGTCGACAATTTGAGGCAATGTGTTCGGCAAATTTCTGTACCGAAAATGTTAATTAAAACGGAAAATAAACTGCTGAGCTATGCTCCTCAGAAATTGCGTGAAAAATTTCCCGATTTAATCAATTCCTATATGAAAGATGTGCATCATGAATTTGACCGTTTAATGAAAATCTACAGTATGAAATGTTTACTTATGCGTCCAGAGATGGTCGTTGAAGAAGCCGAAGAGTTTAATTTACCAAAACCAAATTGGTATTATAAGTTACCTGGTCGCACTGATCAGTATCCACAATATTTGCAGAATCGCCGTCGAATTAATCGACGTTTATTGATTTTACATTCACCCGTACGGGCAGTTCTAAGCACTACGGAACAGGATTTTCCAGAATCCCTTGTTACATTTTATCCGCTTATAATGAATGTCACTCAAGGTACATTTTTTGGTTCGGGCCAACGGGAATATATATCGTATAAGACGTTCCTTAAATATGTACATCAATCGCTGGAAGATAAAATAACGTATTTACGATGGAACTGGTATCCGAAACTCATAAGCATAATTCGACGCACATACAAGAAGAAGGCCTTACCAATGAAAACATGGCCGGCCGCCATCCGTTGCATCGAAGGTTTAATTAATCGACAATTTAATAATCTCAAACAGCGCACCATTCAAGATCTCAAGACCGTTTGTTGTAATAGACGTACAATACCGTTAATTAAAATCCATCTTACTTGTTATGAGGACGGTATTGGCATCGATATAAGTCCATCAATGGACGATATTCTCAATGTTTATGAAAATGTCGTACGTGAAATTGCTGGGGTGGGCAATAAAATAGAACATATCCAAGGTTTAATTGATCCGCTATTCATTAATCAGGGTAACGAATTTTTGCATATTGAGCTTAACGAAAATTATGTTTCAGAATTTATTGTTGAACTAAGAGAAATAATTCGTGAGACATATGAGCCCATCATGGCCTATATTGAAGCGTATCGAAATAAATATCACGGCCTCTATAGCGAAGAGGAGCGATTAGATTTAGAGGAATTCCTATCTGAGCCGCATAAGTTTGATGAATATTTTAAAAAGATCAATGTTTATTTCGATTATATTAATAAATTGCGCTGTGAACCTAGAAAGGAATACTTTGAAATGGCGATTGTTAATAATCAACTCGCCCATACACGCTTACGACAAATAGCCGATGATCGTATTTCACGTATCACCGAGGAAATTGTCCAGTCACATATTAAAGCTGAAGAAGATATATGCGCCGACTTTGAATACATTAAGGATCGAGCTTTGGAAATACCTAAAACTACGGAAGAATTATTAGCAAATGCGGAATATATGATTTATGTGAAAAAAGAGAAACTCTTTGAGCTTAGAGATCGCATACAGCATTGTCTGGCAGTTGGTACAAATTTAGTGGAATTAACTGAAATGACGCAATATCACTTTAATCTAACAATTAAAACGATCAATTGGCTGCAAGACATTAATGAGATATGTGATTCGAATGCGTCGCAACAGGAGAACTATAAGTATTTGTTTGAGGAGCATTTACTTGAAGTAATTCAAAAGTTAAATGCCGATATCGATGAAATAATACCAAAAACAACAATTATTAATGATATGAGCGATCCGGATAAGTTCAAGGAATATTACATAATATTACAGAATTTCATTGATCAATTGAAAACGATGGATGATTATGTGACGTGGATTAATAAAGAGGAGAAATTATTTAAAATGCAGAAAACTGAATATCCAACATTAGAGCTGCTAAAGTCATTCGTTTTCCCATTTGCGTCTCTAATGAAGTAATTCCAAAATATTAATTATATCAGCAATGATAATTATCTTCCCGTTTCCATATTTATTACAGACATTGTATACAATGGATCCGTTATTATAATGTCTGGATGGATGGTCCATTCGAATATTTGGAACCAAGGTTTGTTGAGCAAACCACCGATGATTTTCTCAAAGAATTTCAAAAAAATCAAAAATATTATCGATTAAAAATTAAACAAGATTCCATAGATAATCCACCCTGTAAATTTAAGGTACTCTCTCCCTAACATATCGCTCAATAAGTTTTGAACATACAGAACATACAGATATGTAGGATGACTATTGATGAAAATATATGCATTATGGGCATATGTATGTCATCCTATGAACTTATTGAGTGAGGTGTTATATGTATATAGAATGCTTTCGAATTTTTCAAGTTTTTAGGGACAAACAGAAGATCCAGATCCTAGTAATCATCCAGTGCCGCTGCGTTTATGCAGTCGGATGATACAGTCTATTAAAGATTTCACCACTGGCGTTTTCATTGTTAATCAAATGTGTCATTCGGCGTTAAGGAAGCGACATTGGAAGGAGATGTCCGAAATTGCGGGCTTCGATTTAACACCTGACGCTGGAACTACACTGCGCAAAATTATAAATTATCGTTTAGATAGCAAGCTTGATCAATTTGAAATAATTAGCGTAGGTGCCATTAAGGAATTGCAATTATGGAATAATCTTCAAACAATGATTCATGAATGGGATAGTAAATGTTTCCCGACCGGTCCTTATAAGGAGACTGGCGTTCAAATTCTTTCTAGTTTGGATGATATACAAGCCATGCTAGATGATCATATTCTGAAAACGCTTACGATGAGAGGTTCGGCCTTTATGAAACCCTGCGAAGACGATGTGCGAGCTTGGTATGATAAAATTATGCGAGTCAATGATACCCTAGATCAATGGGGTAAAGTGCAAGCGAACTTTTTATATCTGTTGCCCATATTTTCTTCGAAAGATATTGTGGCTCAAATGCCTGAAGAGGGCCGTCTATTCACAATAGTCGAGCAAACGTTTACACGCAATATGGGCATGGTGTTACGGCAACCTTTGGTAATGGAAACAGCACCAGTATCCGGCCTTTTAGAGTCTCTACAAAAGGCTGTTGAACTTCTTGACGATATTACTACTGGTGTGAGCAACTATTTGGAAAAGAAGCGTTTATTCTTTCCACGTTTCTTTTTTTTATCCAATGATGAAATGTTGGAAATTTTGTCTGAAACCAAAGATCCTTTAAGGGTTTTGCCTCATTTAAGTAAATGCTTCGAAGGTGTTGATAGTTTGGAATTCGATCAAACTAAGAATGTGTTATCGATGTTGAGCAGTGATATGGAACTTGTACCGTTTGTGGATATCGTTTCAACAGCCGCGGCCGGTGGTAGTGTGGAGAAATGGCTATTAGGTGTTGAAAGTGAAATGCTTAAAGCAGTACGTGATCAAATGGAGAAATCCTATCACCACTATCCAACACTCAGACGTTTAGAATGGATGTGCTCTTGGCCTCAGATGATCGTTTTATGTGTTTCTCAGATCTATTGGGCTGCCAACGTTCATAGCAGCTTAAGGAAAATGTCAGTTAATCCACATGCCGTTGCAGATTTTTTTAAAGAATTGAATATAGACCTGAAGCAAACAGTTGAACTTATACGTTCCACAAAAATTAGCAATTTGAATCGTATCACCATCAAATCGTTGATTGTTATTGACGTACATGCCAAGGACGTCATAGAGGATCTTGTGAGGCAAAAAATTTCTAGTGAATATGATTTTCAATGGATGTCTCAATTACGCTATTATTGGGAGGAGAACGACAGTTGGGTACGTATCATAAACGCCACTGTACATTATGCCAATGAATACTTAGGCAACTCCGACCGTTTAGTGATAACGCCTTTAACAGACAGATGTTATCGCACATTGGTAGGCGCATATCAATTACATTTGAACGGTGCTCCCGAAGGACCGGCGGGAACTGGAAAAACGGAAACTACTAAAGACTTGGCCAAAGCATTGGCTGTGCAATGCAAAGTCTTTAACTGTTCCGACGGCTTAGATTACAAGGCAATGGGTAAATTTTTCAAAGGATTGGCTTCATGTGGTGCGTGGGCGTGTTTTGATGAGTTCAACCGTATTGAGGTGGAGGTACTGTCCGTTGTAGCTCAACAAATTCTTTTAATTATACAAGCTGTCAGAGCCAAGGCCGTTAAATTTATGTTTGAGAATACGGAATTGGTTTTAAATCCTGCTTGTTATGTGTGCATTACTATGAATCCCGGTTACGCTGGACGTTCAGAATTGCCAGATAATTTGAAAGTTCTATTTCGTTCCGTTGCCATGATGGTACCTGATTACGCTATGATCGGCGAGATATCTTTGTACTCTTACGGATTTGTCGATGCTCGAAAATTGTCCGTTAAAATCGTGACAACTTATCGCCTGTGCTCCGAACAGCTGTCAATGCAAAATCATTACGATTATGGTATGAGAGCCGTGAAAACTGTCCTCTCGGCATGTGGTAACATAAAGAAACAATTCCCGAATGAAGTTGAAGATATTTTATTATTACGTTCCCTAATCGATGTCAATTTACCCAAGTTCATGTCCTTTGATATACCTCTATTTGAAGGAATAATATCAGATATATTTCCGGGTATTACATTGCCCTACATTGATTACACTTTAATTGAGCGGGAATTTAAGCATTTCTGCGCAGAAATGGTACTAGAACCAACCGAAAGCTTTTTGATTAAAGTGATACAAACTTATGAAATGATTATTGTCCGCCACGGTTTTATGATGGTGGGTGAGCCATTAGCTGGTAAAAGTAAGACGTTACAAATTTTGGCGAAAATTTTATCATCCTTGAAAATAAAAGCACCTGGAAAAAGTCCATATTACCAACATGTTTTAATGGGCATTATGAATCCGAAGTCTATTACAATGAATCAATTGTATGGATCATTCGATCCAGTGTCTTATGAATGGACCGATGGTTTAGTGGCAAGAATATATCGAGATTTTGCTATGACTCCGACACCAGATAGAAAATGGGTACGTTTTCTTTTTGACCGAACCATATAAAAATTATTCGATTTCCTAAAATTTTTTTTTTTTTTTTTTAAATTATGACAGGTTATTTTTGATGGACCGGTGGACGCTGTATGGATTGAGAATATGAATACAGTTTTGGACGATAATAAAAAATTATGCTTAACATCCGGTGAAGTCATAACGATGACTAAAGAGATGTCTATGATATTTGAGGTTATGGATTTGGCGCAAGCCTCTCCTGCTACGGTTTCTCGTTGCGGTATGATTTATATGGAGCCCGCCACCTTGGGCTGGCGTTCATTTGCCGACTGTTGGCTTAAAAAGTGCGATACGCGATGGGCCGATGAGGAAGGCTGCGCGTATGTAATTACTTTATTGAGTTGGCTTTTAGAACCGGTAAAAGAGAAGAAATACTCAGAGGAGCATTATTTAAGCTCACCATTATTCGCTTCTTTGTCATTTTAGTGTCAAGAATTTGTGCGTAAAAGTTGTCGTCAATTTATAAAGCCTGGAGAATTTAATTGCTTGACGACAACCTTCGACTTGTTCGACATGTGCATGTTTGAAGCCATTGAAGAAAATCCAGAGGATTATCAAAAAAATTTACAAACCTATTTTCAAGCTGCAACATTATTCTCACTAATTTGGGGTGTAGCAGGCATTTTAGATACAGGATCCAGAGACAAATTTGACGCCTTTCTTCGAAAAGTAAGTGAATTTATTGTGTGGAGGATCGAAAGTATTCTATTATGCTTATTACTATGAAAATATAAATCGATAGATTTGGACGGATGAAGACAATATACCAGAGGAATTGGGTAAAATTGAGTTACCCATTCCTTTAGAAGGCATTCTGGCTGACTATGTTTATGTTTTTAAACAAAGAGGTGCATGGCGGTCTTGGAATGAATTGGCTAAACGTATGGATGTCGAAGACACGCCCTTGGGAGTTCAAGTGCCTACCATAGACACTGCGCGCTACATACATTTGCTAAAAATGCACATTTTGGTATATTTGACATAACAAATGCATTCAACCAATGATTCTTGATTCTGTCGTCCTATCATTTTCTCTCTTTTTTAAGCATAAAAAGCGTCTGTTATTTGTTGGCCCCACGGGAACGGGGAAAAGTGTTTATATACAGAATCATATGATGAATAAACTTGATACTGATATATATGAATCGGCTTTCATGACATGCACCGTCATGATAACGGCTAATCAAATCCAAGAATTGCTCATATCAAAGGTGCCGGTTTTATTGTATGTATTACTGTGGAATTAAATAAGCCATTTCCACTTTTAAATTTTAGTTGTTGAAGTGGAAACGCGGCATTTATGGTCCGCCAAGAGGTAAGCACTCGATCCTGTTTGTGGACGACATGAATATGCCCATTAAGGAAGAATATGGCGCCCAGCCACCATTAGAATTATTGCGACAATATTTTGATTACGGCCACGTCTATGATTTGAAAGATAGCTCCAAGATTTTCATGCATAATATTATATTTATTAGCGCGTGTGGTTTACCAGGTGGTAGCCGGCAGGACGTCTATCCACGCTTTCTTAACCATTTTAATATATTTTCCATTAACACGTTTAGCGATGATACCATGAATCGCATATTTGTCAATGTACTAATGAACGGTTTCAGGAAAACCGGTCACGGTAACGATGTCTTTCTAATCGCCAATCAAATTGTGAATTCCACGCAACAAATATTTAAATTGATTCAAGCCGAAATGAGAGCAACACCCGCGAAATCGCATTACATTTTTAATTTGCGTGACATAGCTCGCGTGGTAACGGGCTGTTCATTAATGCGCAAGGAAACTGTAAACGACAAGAAAATATTTACGCGCTTATGGTATCACGAATGCATGCGAGTTTTTTATGATCGTCTAGTGAATGATAATGATCGTCAATGGTTGTTTGATAAATTGAATGAGTGCGTTCGCGTTTTCTTCAGAGATAAATTGGAAAGTGTTTTTGAACAATACTGTACCGATATAAATGGTGAACCCACTTTTACTATTGAGGGAGCCAACAATATATTTTTCGGTGTTTATTTCGATGAGGATAGCGTACCAGATGAGCGACGGTATGAGGAGGTCCCGAGTATGGCGGTTTTATACAAATTGGCAATCACAAGTTTGGATGATTATAATTCCACACGACGTTCAAAAATGGATATAATCCTTTTCACGTTTGCTTTGCAACATTTAAATCGAATTTGTCGAATTATCTCGATAGGTGGCGCTAGTGCTTTATTAATTGGTTTAGGTGGCTCCGGACGTCAATCCTTGACAAAATTAGCCACAAATATGGTTCAGACGGCTTTTTTTCAACCAGAGATCACAAAAAATTATGGTCCGAACGATTGGCACGACGATTTAAAGAATGTACTTAAAGAAGCGGGAGGATTGGATAAACATACTGTATTTTTAATGACTGAAAATCAAATCAAAATGGAATTATTTTTGCAAGACATAGATTGCTTGTTAAATCAAGGCGAAGTTCCCAACATTTATGCGATTGATGAGAAACAAGAAATTCTGGAATTAGTTCGGCTAGCAGCCCAAGGCGGTAATCGCAACATTGACATCTCACCCTTGCAAGTCTTTGCCTTCTTTGTCAACCGATGTAAACGCAAAGTGCATATTGTGCTAAGTCTATCTCCTATTGGTGATGCTTTGCGCACGCGAGTGCGTTTATATCCTTCTCTTGTGAATTGCTGCACAATTGACTGGTACCAAAGTTGGCCAGAGGAGGCCTTGCAGATGATAGCTAAAATATCTTTGGAAAGTGTGGAAGTACCGTCAGATCAAATTAAGCAAGCTATAGTGGAAACTTGTCAATATTTTCATACCACTGCTAGCAAGGTGTGCGCGGAGTTCTGCGAAGCCACCAATAGATACATTTATTTAACCAACGCCTATTTTTTAGAATTGATATTATCATTTCAATCTGTTTTTGGACGTAAACAAAAAGAGGTCATGAGCGCTAAAATGCGTTATATCGGAGGCCTTGAAACTTTAGCCTCAGCGGCTGCAGCTATTGCTATTATGCAAACAGAATTAAATGCTTTGCAGCCGAAATTGTTAGCTTTAGCGGAAAATTCGCGTAAGATGATGGTTGAAATTAATACAGAAACTATAGCGGCTAGTGCTGCCGCCGATCAGGTAAAGAAAGATGAAGAAGTAGCCAGCCTTCAGGCTGAGGCTGCTCAAGCTTTAAAAGTAGACTGTGAAAAAGACTTAGCTCAAGCTATACCGGTTCTGGAGGAAGCTATTCAAGCTTTGAACACACTTAAGCCGGCTGATATTACTTTAGTAAAATCGATGAAGAATCCTCCTGCTATTATTAAATTAGTGATGGCAGCTGTCTGCGTTATTAAGGGCATACCCCCAGATCGTATAGCTGATGCAGCTTCCGGTAAAATGGTTAACGATTACTGGGGTCCGAGTAAACGCCTTTTGGGTGATCTAAATTTCTTGCAAAATCTTAAAGATTTTGACAAAGACAATATTAATCCCGATATCATGCGAAGGATACGCAAAGAATTTATACCTAACAAAGACTTTGATCCTAAGATTGTTGCCAAAGCATCGAGTGCTGCCAAGGGCTTGTGCCAATGGATAATTGCCATGGACTTGTATGACAACGTAGCCAAAGTAGTGGCCCCTAAAAAAGCTAAATTGGCAGCGGCTGAGAAGGAATATGCCGACACTATGACATTCTTAAATGAGAAAAGGGCAATGGCAGCAGCATTGGAAGCCAAAGTGGCAAAATTGAACGAGGACCTTGAAAGAGCGAATATTGAAATGAAACGGACTCAAGATGAAGCTGATCTCTGTCAAAATAAATTGGTTAGAGCTAAGTCTTTGATTGATGGTCTAGGTGGCGAGAAATCACGTTGGACGAAAGCCGCCGAAGATTTACAAAATTTATACGATCATCTGCCTGGAGATATTTTGCTATCGTGCGGTATCATCGCCTACCTGTCAGCAGTGAACTATCAGTATCGCAACGCGTGTGTAGAAGATTGGTACAAGAAATGCGTTAAGCTTAAAATACCTATTTCAGATGACTACAGTATTATTAAAGCTTTAGGTGTAGAGATTACAATACAAAGCTGGAATATTTTTGGTCTACCAAATGATGTTTTCTCTACGGAGAATGCGATTATAGCGTTCAATTCTAGTCGCTATAGTTTGTTTATAGATCCGCAAGCTCAGGCGAATAATTGGATTAAAAATATGGAACGTAAGAATCGCCTCGGAACCGTTAAATTCAATCAGGCCAATTACATGAAAGTCATAGCTGAGGCCATGGAATACGGTAGTCCAGTAATAATAGAAAATGTGCTTGAGGAACTTGAAGTTCCATTGGATCCAATATTAATGCGCAACACTTTTATGCAAGGCGGCCAAAAATATGTGAGCTTGGGTGACAATATTGTACCCATATCGAGCAACTTTCGTTTATATATGACGAGCAGTTTAAGAAATCCACATTATTTGCCAGAGACATTCAATAAGGTAACAATTATCAACTTTGCTTTAACGCAAAGTGCTCTCGAGGATCAGTTATTAAGTATTGTAGTAGCCAAGGAAAGGCCGGATTTGCAAGAATTGCGTATGTCGTTAACAGCTGAGGAAGCAAGAAATAAAGCTGCTCTCGTAGATGCTGAAAATATGATTTTAAAAACATTAACATCTTCCGAAGGTGATATTTTGGAGGATGAAGGTGCAATACAAATTTTAAATGAGTCGAAAGCATTATCTTTGGATATAGTTGCTAAGCAAGCAGCCTCCGTTGAAACATCTGCTAAAATTGAAGCTTTCCGCTTAAATTATAAGCCGGTGGCGGTGCATTCTTCAATTTTGTATTATTCCATTACTGATTTACCTAATGTAGATCCGATGTATCAGTTCTCTTTGAATTGGTACATCAATCTTTACAAATATTCTATAGAAACTGCCAATAAATCTAAGGAGTTGGCTAGGCGAATTAAGTTCTTATTGGATGCTGTAACCAAAAATCTATATAATAATGTTTGCCGTTCAATATTTGAAAAGGATAAACTACTTTTCTCTTTTATATTGTGCGCTCGCATTTTATTAGGCAATAATCAAATAGAGATGCGTCAAATGATTCATTTGTTAACATCACCTAGAGAAAATCTAAATTTACCTCCCAATCCCAATCCAAAATGGATAACAGACGTGATCTGGTTGAATATTGTACGTTTAGAAGAGTTACCCGAAATGAAGGGCTTCGTTAAATCGTTCACATCAAACTTATCAGCATGGGAACGTATTTACGATCATAGTGAACCTCAAGATCAAATTTATCCCGAGCCATGGAATAATAAAACAACCAGAATTGAAAAAATTATTATTCTTAAGGCCTTACGACCGGATAAAGTATTTTTAGCCGTGCAGCATTTCATAGCCAACGAGATTGGGGCGCAATTTGTAACGCCGCCAGACTTTGATATAAGCAAATCGTTCACTGAATCGACAGCGTTGACTCCATTGATTTTTATCCTGTCGCCAGGAGCTGATCCTTTGGGCGCATTATTGTCGTACGCTGAAAAAATGGGTTACGATGAAACTTTTCAAAGTATCTCGTTGGGGCAAGGGCAAGGCCCTATCGCTGAAAATCTCATTAAAAATGCCCAAGATCTTGGATATTGGGTATGCTTGCAAAATTGCCATTTAGCGGCTTCTTTTATGCCTCGTTTAGAGTTTTTGTGGGAAAATATGGATACATTTAATACATCACGTAATTGAAACTGGCGCACAGTGACTTTGTATTGCGTAACTCCTTTCATAATATTTTCAGCATCTTTTCGCATATGGCTGACCAGTTATCCGACTCCACAATTTCCGGTGGCATTACTGCAAAACGGTGTTAAAATGACGAATGAGCCACCTACCGGTCTAAAAGAGAATATAATGCGTTCTTATAATTCGGAACCAATAAATGATCCAAACTTCTATAATGGCGTGATCCATCAAGATCGTGCTTTTACACGTTTACTTTTTGGTATATGTTTCTTTCATGCTGTTGTACAGGAGAGACGTAAATATGGCCCATTGGGCTGGAATATCGCGTATGGTTTCAATGAATCAGATTTACAAATATCTGTACTGCAATTAAGCGTAAGTCTAGAAAAGGGGGTTAAACAATTGAAATGTGCTCGATTGCAAAATAATTATTTTGCTAAAAGTAAACTTCTTTTAAAAATAATATTTCTCTGCTCACAGATGTTGCTAAATCAGTATGAACATGTACCTTATGCTGCTTTATCCTATTTAACAGCTGAATGTAATTATGGTGGTCGTGTAACCGACGCGTGGGATCGTAGAGCCATAGTAACTATCCTCGCCGATTATGTCAATCCGGATGTTGTGGGCGATGTACGCTATAAATTTGCTATTGATGATCGTTTCATGGTGCCACGAAAGACTGAGCATCGAGATATTTTACGTTTCGTAGACGAAAACTACCCATCGCTTGCATCTCCCGAAGTTTATGGGTTGCACGCGAATTCGGGAATTACACGTGACTTGAGCACGAGCAAAACTCTGCTCGATTCGATGATTTTGATAATAAGCTCCGAATTCGCTTCTAGCTCCGGTGCTGGTCAGAGCGCCGATCAAATGCTACTCGATACAATTAATCAAATAATTACTGCAATGCCGCCTAATATGGATGTTGATGCTGCAAAAAAAAAGTACCCAGTTGATTACAACGAATCGATGAACACAGTGATTACGCAAGAAATGGAACGCTTTTTAAAACTACAATTAGAAATACGAAGTTCATGTCGGGACATCGAAAACGCCATTGACGGTATTATAGTTATGACGCCAGAATTGGAAGGTGTAATCGGTGCAATAAAATTGAATCGCATACCAACAAAGTGGATGAAAAAATCTTATCCTAGTTTAAAACCTTTATCCTCGTATGCTCAAGATTTATTTAAGAGACTTAATTGGCTGCACGATTGGTAATTGTTTGCCTTTTATATCTATCTATCATTGTAATTACAAAAATATTTAAACCGGTTGTTAGGCATCGTTACGGTAAGCCGCCAACTTTCTGGTTATCAGGCTTCTTCTTCACGCAGGCATTTCTCACTGGGGCAATGCAAAATTTTGCTCGTAAATATAAAATACCTATCGATACCTTAACATTTGATCACGAGATGTTGGACGAACTTACGTAAGCATTAAAAATCTGGGCGGGGACAAAGTGAACGAATATATTAATATTTTTAATTTTTGATAATTTAGTAAAATTAAGCCGCCAGCGGACGGCGTTTACGTAAATGGTTTGTTTTTGGAGGGCGCCCGTTGGAATTGGGAAAAAAAACTTCTTGATGAGCAGCTGCCTAAGGTACTGATTTATCAAATGCCTGCAATATACTTGAAACCTGTGCCCATAACCCATTTAACCGAGGGATCCCGTTATAAAAGCCCTCTATACAAAACTGGCGAACGCAAAGGTACTTTGTCCACGACAGGACATTCCACAAATTATGTGATACCCGTATTTCTAAATACCAAAGTTAAACCTACTCACTGGGTTAAGCGCAGTGTTGCTCTATTATGCCAGACCAATGATTGATTAATACATTTAAACTTATTTTGGAATTTTTTATGAATAACATTTATTTCAATTTAATTAGTGTAATTTTTAATTTTTTTTAAATATATTTTTGAAATGAAAAATAGTTCACACCCACAAACTATTCGAGCAAATTTATTTCCTCTACATAGTTAAGTAAAAGTTTAAAAAAAAAAAAAAAACGGAATGAAAGAAGTGAAAAAGATTATGACGATTTCGGAATACTTTCCGTTCAGAGTGCAATATATATTGAATATGCATTACAAGTGAAGTACATTGAAAAACCACATATTCCTGAATATTGTTGCTGAATTTTAACTTAATACTTCATTTGCGAATTCTTCTTTACGAGGTAGTTTTTTTTTCTTTTTATTTTTCGCAATTATCAATGGAATCGAATTGTTTTCTAAGCAACGGGAATAATGTTGATAATTTCTAGCTCTCCAATTTAATTATTACCAATTGAATTAAAAGCGGACAGACGAGTTTTAAGATTATGTATCCATTGTGTGTGAACTCCGATATATCTATAATGGATTAGTAGTGGGTATAAAAAGAGTGATCACAAAAGCAATCAAAATTCATAAAAAAGTAAATACAACGTAAATATTATTTAACTTCAGCATCATGAGAAATAAAAAGAAAAATTTATTGTGTACCGCAGGTCGTGCCATGAACGCGTACATCATCGCTGTCCCCATTTTGATTATCTGAACTGGTATCATTAGTGCTGGTAGAAGCTTCATCGTTTGTACGGTTACGACGCTCATTGCTGCCACCTCTACGAGTAGCATGAGCAAGGCCACGACGACGACAGGAATAGTGCCGTATAAAGAAATGGAATAGTCCATGATCGAATCCTATGGCGTCGATATCTTCAAACGTGCTACGTGTCATATTGCGAAGGACACAATTTTCTAAATCTGCTAAGTCAGGCGGATACTAAGACAATATATTATCAGTTGACTGGCTACCTATGATGTTTCGGCATTTAGTTTTGCTAACTTACTGTTTCAGCACTAGGTGTCCAAATTTTAATATTATCATCTAATCCAGAAGTTGCCAGTATAGGTACAGAAGGATGCGGTTCCAAACAGTTAATCTATAAAAATTCAAAATAATTTTAATAGCGTACACTACCACTTACAGTATGAATAATAACTTACCACGCCGCCAACATCGCCCGGCATAAAATTGAGTATAGCTTCAGTATTTTTATCCCAGTAATATATGTTGCCACAATCACTGCCACTGATTATATATTCACAATTAGGACCAAAGAAATTTACACCTTTTATGGTCTGCTGATTACTATAAAACATTAAAAACCGACAGAAAATTACGTACATATTTATATACATTTAAAAAAAAAAATGGGAGCAGGCTACACTTACACGTGTCCTTTATAACAATGAAGAAATGTTCCTTTTTCATAGCACAAATTATTAAACAAATATATATTCTCATCGCAATAGGTGGCCAAAATCTCAGTACCTGTGTTATTATAAACGCAACAGGTTACTGAGGGAATACTAGCATAATCGAGCAAATGCTCTGGACACATCATGTGTAACGGATTATTTTTCATATTTCGTTTGTCATACACACGTACAAAATTATCACAGCCACTAACACAAATTTCAGGCGCATATGGATGATGAGAAATACTGTAGAGGCTTAGTTTTCTCCCATATTTACGCTGTGAATCTGATGTTACCTGCAACATTTCATATTGCGATTCATCTGAACGTAAATCTTTTCCAAGTATATAACCATCTTCTCCAACGCTTATAATCTCTGAAGGATTTTGAGGACA